ATATCTGTTAGTGAGTTGGGCCCTCTGGAACTGAAGTTACAAATGGTTGTGAGCTGCTACGTGGGTGATAGGAATGAAGTCCATGTCCTCCGGAAAAGCAGCCAGTTGTATTCACAGCAGAGCCATCTTTCCAGTCCCTGCAAGGAATTGTTTGGCATTTCAGTCAGTACTGTTGGTGGAGGGGAAGAGATGTCCGCCTTTCAGAGGTGATCTTGGGCTATCCATTCATGCCACGGATATTTATAAAGCCAGCCCTCTGGTAGGCAGTGAAGACACAGTGTAGATCCTGGTGACTATGCTTTCGGGCTGTTCAGTGGTGCTAGCTACCTCCATTTCATCCTTGTCTTTTCTATGTTTGCTGCAGTGGACTCAAGTCAGCCTTCCTTTTCAGACACTAGAGAAGTCCCACAGCTGGGTATTGTCCTGCAGCAGATTTGTGTGAGTCATGGAAGATAGTATAAGGCTTTGTATTTCTCTGCAGCACCAGTGGAGTGTCCTGAAGAGAGTGGCTTTTCCCAAACTCAATTCATGCAATAAATTATTTTCTTATTTTTAATGTTCATTGGTGTTTTGCCTCCATGTGTAATTGAGGGTGTTGGGCCCTCAGGAACTGAAGTTACAAGTGGTTGTGAGCTTCTATGTGGGTGCCAGTAATTAAGTCCATGACCTCTGGAAGAGCCACCAGTTCTCCTCACAGCTGAGCCATCTCTGCAGTCCCTGAAAGGACTTCTTTTGCTATTACAGTCAGTACTGTTGTTGGGAGTGGAAAAGATGTCACCCTTTTAGAGGTGATCTTGCACTATCCATTCATGCCAGACATAATTATAAAGCCAGGATTCTATGTTTGGCCTGGTATTCAGTATCAGATCAGGTGCAATTCTACAGATAAGTGTGCAGAGATGACTGTGCACTAAATCTCATGGGGGTGTGCATCTCCTGGTGCCCTGGGCTGGATGGGGTTCGGGTATGGTTCCCATCCATGGCCCTAAGGAAGCTTGTTCTGAAAGACATGAGAACCCACACTGAACACCACCCATTACCTAAGCATGAAGAAGGATCTGCTGCACTGACCTACATCGTGTCCATCTTCTACTGTTGGGAGGAAATGGGCATTCAGGGTTGCTTTGGTTTGTAAAATAAACTTCTTTACCTTTTAAAATGTGTATGTTTTTCTCTACGTATCAATAAGATCTAAAAGTGCCAAGTGTTGTGGTACAGTCCTATCCTCTGAACTATTCCAGAATCTGCGGCAGGAGTTTTAAAGCCAGCCTGGGTGCCTTAGTTGAGATATCTTATCTCAAAACTAAAAAGGTGGAAGAGGGGCTGGGGATGTAGCTAGTGGTAGAGAACTTGCCTAGACCCTGTGTTATGGCCCCAGTACCTGTTCTAATGATTCTAAAAGGATATGAGCTCCTGGGAGCAGGTTGCTGGTGGTTAGGTATGGGTTTTCTGCCTTCTAGACAATTTCTCTGTGTATCCCTGCCTGTCCTGAACTCCTTCTGTATACAAGGCTATCCTCGAACTCATTGATGTGCCTACTACTGCACCACAAGTGCTGGGATTAAAATGTACATCATCCCTACCCATTAAGATTTTATTTTAATCACCCCCTCTCAAACACACAGTGTGCATGAAGTACCCTAGGAGGCCTAGGGTGTATAATCCCAGGAACTCAGGTTCCAGGCAGAGTCACAGTGTGGGAGATGGGAACTGATCCTGCCTGGGTTCTATGGAACAGCTGTCATGGCTCCAAATGCTGAACCATCTCTCTAGCCCACACATTATATTGTTTGTGCTTCTGCATTGCTTCAGATTTTTACAATGGATATGCCTTGCTTTTCTATATTTGAAAGATGTGTGTACAGGAATTTATTTATAGGCAGATGTAGAAATTAATGAAGGGTCGGGGGGATATAGCTTAGTGGTATTGTGTGTGTGTAAAGTGTACAATGCCCTGGGTTTAATAATTAGGATTGGAATAAAATATTCTAAAATAAAATCGGTGAGCTGCGCCGTGGTTGGCACACCTTTAATCCCAGCCCTGGGGATGTAGGGTCAATCACATCTCTATGAGTTCGAGACCATCCTGGTCTACAAGAGTTAGTTCCAGGACAGCCTCCAAAGCCACAGGGAAACCCTGTCTCAAAAAAAAACAAATAACAAAATGCAATCAAACAAAAAAAGCATACTAGTTGAAATATAATCAATGACAACTGGTATAATTTTTAGCCCTGTTATGAAGACAGGGGCAAGTAAGACTGACAGGGGGCATACACCATATGTACATGTCTCTGTGGGAAAAACAAACACTGTTTGCTTGGAAAGGCCTGGATATCTGCAGATATAAGAAAAACATTTGAAGGTCATGTGCTAAGCCTCTTGGACTCATGATGGACTCTGGGTTTAGATTGGGTGAGAAGCAGCCAGCTGCAGCCTTGTTAGAAAGGGGATGGATGAGCAATTTGACAATGAGTGAGAAGTCATTCCTTATTGATATTTAGCAGCTCAAACTCATGAATGAATAATGAAAGACCATAGGGTGAACGAGGGAGGAAGTGTGTAAGGAAATGAATGATATCTGCCTTCCGGTGTTTGCACAGACACACACAGCTTGGTTGGAACCTGGAAGCTCTTTGGACCTCCTTAATAGGAGTTGCCTGAGGATGCTGGGGGGGACTCACATTGAGGAGCTAAGGGAGCATGGTCCTGAGAAAATGAGCTGCAGGTACTGCACAAGGGAAGGAAGGATGACAGCAACATCTCCTGTTGTTACCTACCCCAGAGCTGAGATTCAGGGCTATAGTTTCTGCATCTAACACCACAGGTATTCCAATTTACACAAGAAAGTGATGAGCCCCCTTCTATATGTCTGGTAAGATATACCTTCCTTCCTTCCTTTTCTCTCCTCCTCCTCTTCTTGGATTTTGAGATGGTGTTTCTGTGTATAGCCCTGTCTGTCCTGGAAATGACTCTGTAGAATAGACTGGTCTTGAACTCAGAGATCCATCTACCTTTTCCTTGGAGTGCTGGGTTTAAAGGTGGGCAGCACCATGCTAGGGTAGGATATACTTCTGCCTCCTTTTGAGATGGGCTAGGTAGAGGATGTGACAGTCTGATTAAGCCCTGCAGTCTTTGTGTGCCCTGTCCCTTTTAGGGGACAGTAAGCCATGCCTGCTAGAAGGTGGCTACAGGTGTACCTGACCATGCCTGTCAGGGTGTAGTCAAGGTGAGTTCAGGATGACACTTGATAGGTTTTTAAGGGGCTGCAAGGCATATCAGAGCTCCTTCTCTCTGGCCAGTCTGCCTTGTTGCCCCTGGCATGCTCTGGCAATCGTTTGGCTGGTGTTTACCTGAATAAAGATATCTTAATGTTTCAGACTAAGGGTCATCTAGTTATACCTGTTGGCCTGAAATCCACCAGCTATTCTGGCTTCCTGTGAGCCCTTTGGGCACAGCACAGAAGCCGCTATCCACCAGGCCAGGAGAGTTTAAATCTTTCACAGGCCTCCCTGTGGGTTTTCCTACCCCAGGCTACACACTCATTACTGCTAGCCATGTGTGTGTGCCAGAGGCCCTGAGCAGCGAGTAACAAAGTTTTGTCCAATTTTGTCCTGCCTAACCTAACAGAGAAACTTTTCCTTTCTGTGCAGGCCGTCGCAGATTCTGTGGCCTGCCACCGCTGGCAGAAAAATGGAGCATCCTCCACCAAGACAGCACAATGCTATGCCCCCCTTCTGTGCTATCATTCCCAGCTCCAGGTCTCTGTGCTGCCGTCTGCACCTGCTCAGCCGCAAGCCCGCGTCCAGTTCCATCTGCCCAGCTTGGTCTCCACCAGTACTGTTCCAAGATTTTCCCATACATACTAAACACATCCCCAATCCATTCTTAACATGCTCTGTTAGCATTTTTCTGGAACTTTCACGTCTGACTCAAAACAACCGCAACTGAACACCTGTGCCATTTGCTGGTAAAGGGGGTTGCTGCATCTGGAGTGGATCAGCCTGATTCATCTAGCTGAAAATATACTGCCACATCTGCAGTTGAAACTGACTGGTAAATATGGCCAAATACTTATCATTTGCCTCAACTGGTATCATTTTTGCTTCTAATGGAAATTCAATTATCCAGGAGGATATTGATCTGTCAATAATTGGCCTATATGCCTTAC